GCAGAGTTCGTGGCAGGCACATCACTTTGTGAACCTCCATGTGCAGAGTTCGTGGCAGGCGCATCACTTTGTGGACCTCCATGTGCAGATTTCATGGCAGGCACAGCACTTTGTGAACCTCCATGTGCAGATCAGGCGCAGCACTTTGTGAACCTCCATGTGCAGATTTCGTGGCAGGCACAGCATCTGGCGAGCTGGAAGCTGAGAACTGCCGACTTTGTAGTGCAACTTTAGTACGCGGAGTAGGCTGGGGAGCTGGAGGCTGAGAACTGGAGACTTTGTAATACAACTTTAGTACGCGGAGTATCTAGGGAGCTGGAAGATGAGAACTGGCGACTTTGTAGTACAACTTTAGTACGCGGATGAGTCATCTCTCGCGGCTGAGTCATCTCTCGCGGCTGCTTCTGGCCCCCCTGCAGCTGAGTCATGTCTCCCGACCACCCGGCTCTCTTGAGAGGTTGACAAATTTTAGGTACTTTGCTTATTCACATAGTGCTCATGTCGATTACTTTCTGGAGATCTCAAAACACGTGTTTTGAGAGGTTGACAAAGTTGAGCTAATCAGCTTCGTGTCTAGACAAGCTATCACATCATAGTGAACGTCTAGCTCCAGTTAGCATTAGTGGGGCTAGAGCTAGAGCTATGCTTCACTCATCACTCATCACTCATCATCATCATTTGCTCTAGTTTCAATAGCTCTAGCTCCAGTTAGCTCTAGCTTCAATAGCTCTAGCTCCAGTTAGCTCTAGCAGCTCTGACTGAGGGACACGAGGGACACGCATGGTGGAAAGAACCGGGACCGGGACACTCCTATAGGTCAACTTGTTCTTATAGGAAATTTCCGCCGCCGGCTTGCCCGGGAACTGCTTGTAGCATCTTGCTACTAGGAGCGATGCACCTGTTACTAGTAGCGATGGCAGGAGCCCCTAGTAGCATCCATGTTCCTAGTAGTAAGGCCAGGAGCCCCTAGTAGCGCCCTTGCTCCTAGTAGCGTTGCCCCTGCGATTCTCGAGGTTGCCTGCCCCTTGTGCGGCGCCGAACGCGACGCACGGAGCACGGCGCGGCCGCTGCAGCTCCACACGCTCGGCACGGCGTGTCCGGTGATGACGAGGAGGAGCCACGAGGTGATCGGCTGCGGCCAGAGCAGCCGCTTGGAAGGAATGTGTTTTTTGCCAATGATTTGTATTATATCTATAGTATTTGTTTATTGTGTCAGTGTAATTAGTGGTATTGCAATAGTCGGTGTGTGCATGTTTTTAGTTGTTTGCACTAGTATGTGTGTTTTTTGAATATGTTGTTGTTACTTTTGGTCCCCTTCCAAGTCACTCAGCTAAAGTTTCAGGCCCTAGACCCGAATAGGAACCATGCCCATGTGTGCATGTAGCTTAACTGGTATCTTCATAGTGCCTTGAGCGACGGCCATTTGAGCCCTGCTTGATGTCCGACTGTTCCCATCAAGTTACTGTGCGCCGAGGCATTTCCAATTGAGGACAGATCTCGTCCAATGACATGTCCAGCACGGCTGACTCACCACACTGCGAGATTGAAATGTCAGATTTGGATCTGTCAGAGTGTCAAGTTTGGTGGGAGTTCCTTTGAGAAGACTTGACAATCCATGAGTCTTTGGGGGTCTTTTGACCGTTTTGCTATACATTGTATGGATTGGCACATGTTGAAGGGACTTCTTTCTTTTCAGAAGAATGAGGATCTGTCAGGGTTTTTGGGATGAATCGAAGGCTAAAGCCCTCTGGTCGTGATCAGAGTCGTGTAAGAAAAATCACTTTGGCTTGAGTGAGTGAATCAATACCCTTGTTCCTAGTAGCAATCTGCTCGGAGCTGTGTGTGGAGGACCATCGATTCCTCCTTGGCCTTGGCGATGAAGGCAATGGCCTCGCCAGAGCTTCAAGCAAACCTTTGCATCTCGTCGAAGTGGGGACGGGATGATCGGATCGCTTTATCCTGTCCTCTCTAGTAGAGTGGTGGGTGAACATGGCTGGAAGTGGAACTGGTTTGGAAGTGGAACCCGTACACAAAGCCAGTGAACCAAGTTGTACAAGTTGTGCGAGCTCAAAGATGCCATGACTGCGACCTGAGAAAGGGTTGCTACGTGAGTGCGAACCTTTTGCCGACGCTTCTCTTTTGAGTAGAGCACAAAACACTGCAGTGAATTAATCGCAGCCTCAACTTCAGACTCAGATAAATTGCCCCACGACTCAAGACAAAATCTCAGGTAGATTATCAGCCCCGGCTCTCTTGTGCTCCCGTGAAATCAGCTCCGGACACTGGGTAACACCCATATCGTATACTCCAGTCAAGGAAGCAGTCTGAAGTATGTTACGTATGTTCATGTTTGCCAGTGTTTGCCAATGTGATGCAAAAAGGTTGGGGCCATCGTTTTTGGTCGCCTCCATTTCTTTTAGGTTGGGGATTCATCGCTATTAGCTTACAAAAGAATGCACTTCGTCTCCCTCCGCCGCTCGAGGTAGCTTGTTGCAGACCCTGACGCCTCTTGGGGCGACAGATGGGGTGGCCATGGCCTTTTGCCCCTTCCCACTCTGCGGCGAGTTCAGTGGCTTGGCAGTGAATTTGTTGGCAAGAGGAGAAGGAGCTGCGCTACAAAGAAAGCATACTCTGAAAGTACAGAATTTTCAGGTGTGTGGCTTTGGATGTCAAATCTTGTGGAGTTCTTGGTTGAATGCGGACCATCACTGTGTTCGGTTGTTTTTTTCTTTGACTGCAGATCATATTGCTAGAAGATGTCACTTGTTGACCTTGCGATTTTGAGACACCGGAAAGCAAGAAGGCTTTGGCTCCACAAATAGTATACCTGCATATACCTGCTAAACATCTCTTCTGACGCAGTGATGTGCCCACCGAAACGTGCATCATCTTGAAGCGAGGACCGGTCGTACGGTCACAAGTCGCGTCACGGGCCCGTCGTTGGCTGGCCGGCCGAAGCAAGTAGACATCCACCGCCAACCATCGAAAGCGGAAGCGGAAGGAATCGAAGAACCCGTTCGTAGCGTCGTTGCTCCGTTCGTACGGCCAGGAGCCCCGAACGTAGATTCCTGAGGTTCGGGTTTGGAGTGCGCCCCTCCTTTGCCAGAGCTCTCATTGCAGCCTGGCACGAGTGTGGCACGAGCTGGGTTGATCGGTTGCTGCAAATGGGAAGAGCTAATAGCGATGGCCTCCAACCTGGAAGCGATGGCCTTCAACCTAGAGCAAATGGCATATTTTAATTGGGGAGTCAATCCATCCAACATCCATCCAACCTGGGACAAATGTGTGATGTAGTCACTTGAGCATTTGTTCAACCAAATGTGATGGGAAATTGGCTCATCCATTGCACTTGAAGTCTGAAGCATAAAATTGGTTCTTGGTTGAACTGAAAGTGACAAGTGCCACGCTACTAGGAACAAGTGCATCGCTTCTAGTAACAAGTGCCTTACTAGTAGTAACAAGGACGCTACTAGTAACAAGAAGCTATTGCTTGAGTGTCTTCATTGAACTGAAATGGATTGCAACATGCGACCGGAGCTCGTTCGATTGTCGTTCTCCCATGACCTATTCTCATTGGCTGAGACCTCTTGGAGGATCACCCAGTGTTTGACCACGAGTTGCATCCCAACTTGATGTGTTCACCAGTATTGTAGTAAGAATGCTCTTAGTAGCGATGAAAGGAGTTCCTATTACCGTCCTTGCTCCTAGTAAGGCCAGGAGCCCCTAGTAGCTTCTTGTTCTTAATATTGTCCTTTGGACCCACACCGAAGTTCACCAGCTTTCCACGACATGCGAACATGATGTCGGTGAAAAAAGTGCCATTTCGCACGCAGCGAGCCACGGATGCGCGCGAGGCAAGCCTTGCAACGCGGCCTCTTGGTGGCGACCTTCCTACAAGGCTCGATGTTGGTCATTGCGTATCTCGTGGTTTCGTGGCATAGATGGAACATTGGAACATTATGGAACAAAACAAGCAAAGCCTTGGAATGGGGGGGTTGGCTTTTCTCATGTTTGGCTGTGGTGGGGTGAGGCAGCTACTGCTCGTCTTGCAGCGTGCAGCACGTGTGAGATCTGGTTTTCTGGTGGTGTGGTTTCCTCCAGTCCAATTATCTGGCGGGTTGGCCCAAGAGTAGATCAAGGGCGCAAAGAAGTTCATTCTTGGTCCTCCGGACATGCTGCAGATCAAAGCATTGTCCGGATCAATCATTGCAGAGTTTGATGAGGATGAAATCAGTGCCTTTGCCCAAGATGATCAAATAGTGACCGAACTGCAGATCATGAAGACATATGAGTGACGAGTCATTTCTGACAAACCGTCAACCGTAAACTTTTCATTGTCGTCGACCGGCAGTGGTTCAGCTTAAAGCGTTTTGATGATCCACCACTCGCAGGCTCCTTGGGTCTCCTGCGCATTTGCTTGGGTGACTTCTTTAGCGGTTCCTACACCTTGTCACTTGGCAAAAAAAAGTGGTTAGATTGGTTTGACATCAGACATAACTTATCCCAAAGATCAACTCCAAGATCGTGAAGTGCAGCAGATCGTCAATTCTCGTGGGCTCGTTTCGTGGGGGCGGTGTTGCACGAGCAAATCTTGAGGATCGGTTGCACCCCCAGGTGTTCTCAGCAAACCTGCTTCATAGCAAGCGAGAAAGGGTGCCACATGGCCAGTGTCCGATGCTTGTTCAACAACAATGCTCTACCAGAGAATGTTCTTAGCTTGGACAAGCCTTCGACAGCGCTCCTCACACGCCAGGGAATTTGGCTAGCGGCGTTCACCGTCCATTTGACTCCCAGTGTTCGTCAGATGCAGGAAGGATGGGTCGAGGATGGTGCTGGAGGTTGGCGTGCCTCTCCCTCTCCAGCCTCTCTCTCCTAACTGAACAGGTTCACCACCCTGATCCACTTAAATTAATAGCTTCTTGTTACTACTAGTAAGGCACTTGTTACTACTAGTAAGGCACTTGTTACTAGTAGCGTGGCACTTGTTACTACACTCCACACTGCAAAGTGCGCTCAGGTTATTAGCCACTTTGGGCTACAACTCTCGGCACCCTGGACCGTCCTCAGCCTGGTTAAAAACCTATGTGCCTTCGCTTTACTTCGTCGAGAAGGGGTGTTGGTGGAATGAAGATCTCTAAGGGGTTGGTATTCTCGTGGTGAAATCGTATTCCACGTGATCTGTGACACTGACGAGGACACTCACCCATCATTCATATGTTGTTGCTGCCAAGTTCTTGATTATTTTTCTTTGCCACTCAAGAGAATACCACCCTAAGCAGTGCTTGGCCAGATCGTAGAGGAATCCACTAATTTTTGTTTAACATTGCCATGAAAGATCTAAAATTCATGGCAGCCTCCAATATCCTGACACCCAATCTGTGCACAGGCCTCACTTGCACAAATGTTGGGATATATTTTGAACATATGTCCCGTCCGTAGTTTGTCGTTGATGTTTCCCCTTCAAAGTCTTATTCTCCCTGGCGTAGTTCTGGAGGTCTTGATCTCATTCATCAACGGCACGATGGGAAACATCGATCTAATGCAGAATACCTTGCTGCCCCTGAGTTCGCAAGAAGTGGACAGGTCACTGGATGGGTCTATGTCAGGGCCCACTCAAACGATGAGAAGCTGGAATTGCATTGCAGGATCTATGGTCTTTATTTGAGGATTTAGATGGATTTAGTATTGTGTGTCCTTTTTGTTTAACAACAACCCTTAGTCTTGTGTGCCAGCAGGGTCCGTGTTACAGGCAGGCCCCCCCAGCTCAGAACCTCAGGAAAAATGGTCTACCTCTGTGGCCCCTTCAATGATGACATGTCCGGATATCTACACGTCCTACTTTTGACTTGTTTGGATGGCAACCTTACAAAATGCGATCTTGTCAGTAGCAGTAGCAAAAAAGGTTCTCACAAGACACGCACTTGAGTTCGAGACAAGAGCTATTGAAAGCAGACTTGCAGCTTTTCTGTGAATTATCTTCCCTTGTTCTTAGACGTTGAGGGCCGCGGGTGAACAGTACCTCGCACTACCCATCAATGCTGTTGTCCTAGGCACAACTTCCCGGCAATCCAACTCTCATTGCCTTTGTCGGTGAACCTCATGCACACTGTGCCTCGGGCATGAAGGTCTTTGCCTAGGGGCCTAGTGCTCAAGATATCGCTAAGGAGGACCTTTCACTGACGCTTGGGAACGAACTGAAATGGCCAAACGCTTGGCATTGCGGAGCTCCGAATAAGCTGCCTTTGGCGATCCGTAAATGCACCTGGCTAAGCACCAAATAGTTCGCTCGAGATGAGCGAAACAAAAACATGACGCCTTTCGCCTCTCAGATGAGTCGGCACGGCACTGGTCCAAGTGGAGCATGTGTTTTGCATGAAGACATTGTCAAGTGGTTATTTCGTCTGTGAAAATGCAAAACAGGCTACATTGTGTATGCAACTGTCATGAATGTGATGAGCATCATCATCCCAGAAAGTTCGCAGAGTGGGTTCCATAGCGCTGGCAAGTTTATGCAGGCTACCAACAGATTGGTGGAAAAGACAAAAGAAAGGAAGAAAACCGATGGTGAAAAGTGAAAAGTGGTCTATAGGTCTACCAGGTAAGGTATGTCTGGGTCAAATCTCAAAGGATTGGGTAAAGAGAGGTGACAGATCAGGATTGTTGGTGGGTGATTTGCTGAAGCAGTTGCACCACAATGAGTTGTACTCATCCAGCGACACAGAGTATCCTCAAAATGTTCCCATGGGTTCTTGACATGTTCCACACTGATAAGTACAATGAGAATGATAATATTGTCAAGATCGCCAACCCAGGTGCAGCTCTTAGTCCCCGGCTGCTCTTACTGCGGGGCCTACTTCGGCTGGCAACATATCAAGACGCAGCGAAAGAACCTCGGCACGAAAACGACACGTGAGACAGTCGACTGAGTCATTGACTGTGTGATGAGGTGGATGTTGTCTCAAAATGAAAGGACCCTGAAAATGCAGAACTGTGTCCCTGGCAACAGGAAATAAAGGTTGGTAGACAAACCCATGCTGCATGCTGATTTGAACTTATTATTTTTCTGAATCTCGCGCATGTGATGGATAGCACCTATATCAACAAGAAATCAAGGGCCGCGTGTCGATGTTCTTGTCGTAACTGTATCGCAAAACTGCATCAGTAGCTGCTTGGTGTAGGCGACACTCAAGTCCGGCTGAATAGTGTTTAGAGAGCTCCTTTACAAGGCAAAGTAAAAAATTAAATACGAAGAAGAATAAGGGTCTAAACATTAAAGAAATGAAAGAAAAGTCGCCGTCCGGGAGGAGTCGTGCCTTGAGTATAATAGAGAGCTCTGACCGAAAAGCTGCTGTGACAGAAAAGTCGGTCCAAGCTGAACAAGCCACCAGTGAGGATGATGGTGGAAGCATATCAGCGAGAGTGGCTTGACCGTATTTTTTATGGAATGGGATGGGTGTACATTTCTGACGTCATCGTGGCGTCACAGGTAGCCAAGAGGGTGGCCAAGAGGCCAAGAGCCCTTGTTTTTTTCGACGAACCATAGTGTTCATGTGAGCCCTCATGAGGATTGCTGCCAAGGGCATCCCAGTGACCGAATGCGACCGGCGGGGCGTTTTGGGTGAAAGCCCCATACTTACGGAGGGGTCCTACATGTCCTCATAGTGTCCTACATGAGGAACACGGGAAGCTTCTGGTGGCCGGACTGGGAATCATCGTCCTTTTGAAGGGTTTGCTGTACTTTGTCCCGCGGGGCCTCCAACCTACTAGCGGCTGTACTGTTGAAGGGGAGAAGGTTTCATGAATTCCCCAATTCACTCAACTAGCTCAGTTCATTTTAGCTCGAAGATCACCAGATTCATGGACCAAATCAGGTGGATGATGATGATGGAGCGTCCACCTTGGCCTCCACCGCCCTTGATCCCTTTGCCCGGGATGCCACCGCCACCGATGCTCGCGCCCGGTGCACCGGCGTCCAATGCGGGCGCTCCGCCTGCGACGCCTGTTGCCCGGGCTGTGGAGGCCTGAGAAGGAGATGCGATGAGCGTGGGAAAAGAAGCGCGAACAGTGCCCCACTAATAGTAGTGTTTTTGCTACTAGTAACAAGTGCATCGCTACTAGTAACAATTGCATTACTACTAGTAACAAGAAGCTACTAGTAGCTATTTGCTACTAGTAGTAGTGCACTTGTTACTAGTAGCGATGCACTTGTTGCTAGGCGGAGAAGTCAAGCTTTCTTGCAGGTGAAGTCATGTTCACTACTGTAAGAGGTATATTTTCTGAGCAAGGCCTTCATTGGTCTAATTAGTAGCTCAGAGTGAATTGCAGTATTCAGGATCTACCAGGATGGTTGGCATTTCACATACAACTTGTTATCAGACGTTTGCAAAGAGATTCCTTTGGATATCATCCACCGCATAGATTCCAGTGGTCCAACTCTCGACCTCCGGACATAGACGCGTGTCGTTGTAGTCGTTGTAGTCGTTGCGTGCTCGATGGCATCTTCTCTCCGTGGCCATTGAGCTTCACAGTAAACCCAAATAGAAGTTTGCCGGCCTCCGCCTCGTGCCTGGCCCTTGGAGCCCTTGGAGCTTGACTTCATGGAGATGACCAATTCACTTCCGAGAGTCAAGATGAAAGTCGACAAGGAACATGTGTTGCAAAGGAAAAGCAGACTTGGACCATTAAGTTGGACGATCCCGTTTCATTCGAATTGATTTTGCTGCGTCCATAAGTCCTTGGTTCAAAAAACTGTGTTCCTTTTCTCAGATGGGTTCAATGATTCAAGACGTGTTCTTTTTTCTCTTGTGGGAGTACCATCACCTCTCACTAGAATCATTTGCAGCAAACCCATGCGGGCCAGCTCAGCTGCCTAGTTCAGTGCGTTGGAACAGCCATCATGGACCCCGAAGACGTTTTCTTCGCCTGGAGTCCATTGGAAATAGTATGCTTGGTTCAGGGTTTATGCTCGTATACCATGTTGCAACAGCTCACCTAACAGCTGAACCTATGCCAAATCAGCTGAACCTTGGGCCTATCTTTACTGAAAGCTTGTCAGGGCTATCGATCGATGGAGATCCTCCACAAAAAAGATCGAGCGAGTGAGTGAAAGGGCCTTTGGGCCAGAACCGATCGTCCCGGAACTCTCAGGTTGTGATGGCTTGGGGCCCCGGACAGGGCTTTTCCTCAGCGAACAGGGCTTGTCCGGTGACGGGTGTTTGGACCGGATTATGTGAAGACCTGAGGGCTTCTTTCTAGGGCCCAGATGGTTTAGTCCCCAAATCCTAGAATGTCCTAAAATCGACCTCCCGTGAATGCAGTTGTCTTGCTTCATCCCACAGAAAACTTCCCAAGAAAACTGTGGCTCGACCATTTTCCAGGAGTTGTTGATGTGTTTGGAGCTTCTCTTCCAAAGTTCCTTTTCCAAGCCTGATATCACTCAGCAGATGGCTTTTATCATTGTCATCGAAAAAAAAGGAAAAGTGTGATGACAGCTAGTGACTAGTGACTAGTGTGTCATCCAGTGACTAGTGACGAACACATCCAACCCATGCGTTCAATCCTTGACGACCCAGTTCTGACCCATTTCGCGAGCTCACCGGGCCCAGGCGGCGAATGCTGCGCTGTCGGAAGCCTAGGCTGCCGTCGGGGTCGGAAGATCCCCAAAGGATCGAAGAAGTCGGCTGAGAGAAAAGAAACCCTAGTGACTCTGCTTGGGAGTGGGTTGTGACTGGTAGCTTCATGTTAGTATAGTAATGGCCTCCAATCTAGTAGCGATGGCCTCCAACCCAAGGGTTTGGATCAAAGAGCCGTTCAGGTTATCATGTGTGTGGTGGCCATCCTGCGTTCCACCAATCTTTCTGTCATGGTCCACCAATCATTTCGGGGGTGTTGCCTACGTTCCTCATAAGGCTGATCATACAGAAAGGCTCTCGAGGTTGACATGACAATAAAGAAAGCGATTGGTTGAATTCCATAGAGTCTCGTGAACATGTGGCATGAAGGAGAGGAGGTCAATGTCAATGTTTTGGTTACCGGGCCGTACCGGGTCTCAGTTCTTGAACCTCACCCAATGTCCTCTCTGTCATTTTTTGGGGTGGAAAAGAACGCTACTAGGGGCTCCTGGCCTTACTACTAGGAGCAAGAAGCTACTAGGGGCTCCTGGCATCGCTACTAGGAGCAAGGGCGCTACTAGGAACAAGGGCATCGCTATTAGGTTGGAGGCCATCGCTATTAGTGAAGTTTTCCTAAAAATCAGGATAGCTCACGCTATCCTGCGTCCTGTCGGAAGTAGCTACCTAGCTTACTTACCAGCTACCTCCCTAGCTACCAGCTACCTACTTCCTACCTCTACTCACGGCCTACACCCCCCCTTTTTCAAGCCAAACTTCTTGTGGAAGACCGCGATTCCGAGGCCCAGGGCGCCTCCCGGACTGAGTGAGGCCTTTTCGGTCGGGTGGGCGAAGCTCTTCATACGAGTGAGGTGTTCATACAACTGGCCTTAAAACTGGTTTCTCTTCATATTGAGGTCTCAAAAACGGGTGGCTAGGAGATACCGTTACTATAGGAGCTTCTTGCTCATGGCGATGGCCTCCACCCTAGTAGCTGCTAGCTACAACTCATTTATGGATCGACTTGGATATGTCTGCAGGTTATTTCAGGTCTAGTTCCATCTTCGGGCTCTCCCAAAGTGAGCTGGCGGAAGTTTATTATGAGCACTATTTGTTCTTAAATAATTCAACCTAGCCCAAAGCCTCAAGGTATGACATAGCCTGCACAGATGGCTTGCCATTCTGAAGCAAAGTAATTTGACAATTACAGTGTAAGAATGTTGCTCGTCTTCATATGTGCAGCTCCTTTCTCTCCTATTGCATCCGATAATAGAAAGCATGTCATAGCAAATCTATTGAACCCTACCTGAGGGTGTGGAGGACCATGCGTTTAGACAATGTCTCGAATTTGTCCAACAAAATGGGTGCTGTACCTGCAGGTGTGGGGAAAGGCTACCGGTTGCACATTTGGAGCACTGCCTAGTCTAGAAAAGGTTCGTTGTTCCTTCAGCATTGGCAGTTCTCCTTGGAGCTCGGCACTCCTTCCCGTTCGTAGGTGCCAACCCATGAGGCCAGGCCCCGTGGCGAGAGTTCCTTGGCCGATGTGCAAGGGTCCTATGTTCTTCTCAGCGAATAGCACTGATTTGGTGCAGCCCAGAACATGGCTGACTCTTAGGGAGCAAGATCGAAGTTCGAGAGAAAGGTACAGCATGCTACGGAAGCTCAGACCGAATCCTTCAGTCTTTTTCAGTATGTTCGATTCAGCACACCAGAAGCACACTGGCCTCACGTGGGCAGGTGGTCCGAGATGCCGTGCTGAGAGATATTGAAGCCAAGGCAGGGGAGAGATGAATTGAAGCCCAAGTGAGGCCATCGCAATTAGATTGGAGGCCATTACTGTTAGATTGGAGGCCATTACTATTAGGTTGGAGGCCATCGCTATTAGGTGTTTTTTCTTGCAACATCGGGGTTCTTGTAGTGGACAATTCCATTGAAGCCGAAATGAGTGAAGCTGGGACAAACGTGAGAGACCGAAGCGGATTCCTTGGAACCACCATGGGAGACAGTAAGTACGGACAGTAGGGACTGAGAAATGAATGGCGAGGGCCGGGCGCACGTGTTGGAGGTTGAACATAGAGCGAGGACGCTGACAGATGGACCAGACTCCGTCCAATAAGATGTTATCTCCTCGACAAATACGTCCCTTGCCTCGTCCAACAGAAGTGTGCACATCGGAGGTGGCTGAGAAGATGGAGGAGCTTTGGCAAAAGGGCCGACAGATGCTGTCACAGGCTGTTGGACGGACTTGGAATTCATCTTCGGGTGCTTTGAACATGGTGTTGGACGAGCATGTGGCAGAGCTGAACCAATCTGTGGCAGCTTTCAGATTGTGAAGTCGACCAACCAAACCTCCCGTCCCATCCTCTTTCGGACTGCCAGGCGTAATTAAACTGGATGTTCCTGTTGCAGAGACTGCCAGTTCTCCACAGTGTGTGACGGCTCAAATCCCAATCTTGAGTGCCACACGTTCAAATTTGGGATAGGAACGGTGTTGACTACACAGAAGGACTCGTTCTCCCATGACTTCAAAGGAAGGAAGTTCCGAACCTTTGGAAAGCCCAAGCATATCAAAATTCCAGGACCCTGGAGAAAGGACCTCCTGTGTGCTGCGTCTTTCCAATTGAATCAGCCATGATGTCCAAGCCATGCCAAGCCCACACGGCGCAGGTTCATCAGAAACAGCAGGAAAGGACGGAAAAGCTTATGGCACAGATTCAACAGCCGCTGGGACATGGGGTTGATGCGGGTCAAGGGTGCCGATTGTCAACCATGCTAGAAGTAGTCCATGCTTAAGGGGACTAAAGCATGTTGTCCGATACTTCTAAAGGTAGACTAGATAAGATCCCACATGCGCCACATGGCTGATGACTTGGTAGCGGATCAGGTCAATAGTGCATCCAGTCGGGACACCTAATCCGAAACCTTAAAAGTCCAACGATGGACCTTGGACCGATTGGACCTGTGTGAACGATCCATGCTCTTCGAGGCGATTGATTGATCCAGTTTCAAACGACTCCGGAGCCGTGGAACTGGTCACTCTGCTGGTCACTGTAGGTGTAAAGAGCAGCAAGACGCCTTGGAACGTGAGAATCAAGCTTTGAAGCAGGCGGAGCGTGGCCAAGCGTCGAGCGTGACACAGCAGGGAGATGGACGCGATTTGGATTTGTGGACCTGGACCTGGATGTGTCTCAAGGATGTTTTCCACAGGAAGGCTGGATCCAGGCGCCTCTGTGACTTGAAAGGTTTGGCGCATTTTCATTGTGGATATGACTTACTCTGACGGACTGTGGATTGACTTGAGTCTCCTTGACATTTGCATGCGTGTATCCTTGAGGCAGAAACAACATAGCTTATATACTTGTTTTTGTGGTTTGTACAGCAATGCAGTCCCTATGGTTCAGTAAAATGCCCAATGTC